GGGCGCCGTGGTGGCTCCCCGGGGCGAGGGTCACGCACGCCCGGCCCCGCGGGAGTCACCGCCTGAATGGAGGATTGTGCGGGCGGGCGCGGGGCCGGTGCGCCGGCTGGTGAAAGGAGCCTTTGTGCGGCGGTTTACACAGCCCTGACCTTGAACCCTGAGCTGGCTACGAAACGGAGGTGCCTGGTTTGTTTCTCTCCTCCCATGCGGTGCTCCTGCCCGGGCCGAGGGTGCCCTCCCTCGGCTGCACCGCGCCGTCTGGAGAAACATCACTCCCCGCCTCAGGTCCTCTGGTTGTGTCATTAAACTTTTAAACGCATTTTTCACATCTTTCTACAAGAAGTAACACGCCCCCACCCCACCCCCAAAGATCACAAGGCCGCTACTATTTACGGCCACCCGGCCACCGCAGCATTTCACAGGCTGTGAGACCCGACTGACATTAGCAGTGGGTGACAAGGGTCGGCCACTGAGAGCGAAGGTGGCCACGGGTCCCTCCTCCATACAGACAACGGCGTGACTGCAAATAGCAGGCGTTTGGCACATTTCAAGCACTGATTTTTCAAGAGCTTTGTTATGTACAGATGCAGCGTTTTACTTCTGCTCTATAAGATACACAGAAGCTCTGCGCTCGTTTTCGCTCTACAGTGGTGTTTGATATTTAAAACCCGTGGAAGGAAACTTCAGTCAGGAATTTCGGCACTCAACCTTAAACCACTGCTGCGGTGACTCGCAGGAAGCAAGTCTCTCCTCCTTACAAAGATGGCATCAAAGATGGCATCCTAGTTGGTATTGATTGTGCTTCTGCAGAGTATATATATTCTTCATTATTAAACTAAATAGATATCAATCAAAAATACCAAGTGTCACGTCCTGTTGTCTCTTAGTTGTATAAGGCCAAAAGGTTTCTCTTAAATTTGTAACAGTAGGCTGACCACAATAACACCCACTGCACAAGGCAACAAGGAACATGCCAAATGCTCTTTGACTTTTTTTTTTTTTTTTTAAAAAAAAAGTGCCAAGACAGGTGCATTTTAAAACTCTTCAGGTAAACGGAGCAGCAATCCATTCTTGGTGTGCAATACTTTCCCATAATGACTCCTTGTAACAGAAGCAGCAAAAGGGTTGTATTTGGAGACAACCTGACCAAGCATGCAGTCCTTTCACATGAAGGCTGGAACTAACAAACCCTTGGAGCAGACGTTGCACCGACCACCTGTTTGCATGGCTGGCAGCTCACTGCTCCACAGATTTTTCTCCTATCTGGGATACAAGAGATTTCCTGTTTCAAAGGCATAATGCCTTACGGGATCTTGTTTTGTATTTTTGTACTGAAGTATACAGGTTGCTTAGTGTCAGGCAAAATAGATCAGAACAACTATTAGATATGAATGAAATACTAGAAAAATCAGATCTTTTACTTCCACTCACAGGATCAAGCAGCTTCTGTTTATACTAAAAGACAAAGTACTTAACAGGGAGTACTGACTTCCCACTAGCTGACCCTCAAAACTGCTTCTTTTAACATTACATCTTCTTTCATCTTTCTTAGATCTAAGCCCAACTACAATTCATCTCTCTGCTTTTTCATAGCTTCTCCTCATGAAAGCACAAACATGAAGCATAAGTTGGCTAATAAAACCAGATATAATTCTCCCAAAGTTATCCCAGTTTATTTGAAAATCATAACACCTCAGCACTTTGTGCTCCACCGTCAGTTCAGAAATAGGTATTTTTTTCTACACAATTCTAATACCTCTCTCAGTTATCTTACAGATCAAAGCTAGCTCTGATATTTTGTCACATTTTTCAGGTGTGAGCACTACTTTTAAGTATTTCAAGCCCAGCAAAGACAACACAGCTGACAGTACACATTGTAAATAGACACCTAAATGTAAGACAAGGCATTACTGATTCAAAGGATAGAGTTTTAAGCCTCACACATTCAGTACATTCAATCAATATACTTTTAAAATTATTATCTTCCCACTCTTCCATCTGTATTTAATCCTATATACTAGGTACCATGGAGTACAGCCGACTTCATAACCATGACTTTTGGTAGGGTACCATGTGGTGTCCACCCGTCACATCTCTACATCTCTCCACTGCCTCCTCAAGGGTACGACATGTTAGTTCCTTGCCTGTATCTCTAAGGTCATACACAGAAGACTCATGTCTTCAGCTGAACACTATACAAATGGGAAGCAGGCATAAACTCAACCTCTATCACCTCCTTCTCACTAAAACGCCTTTGTGCTTTGTTCTGTGATGCCCTTTTGCAAAAGCTTTCTCTAAAATTCATCCTCTTCTGTTTACTTCTTAGGATTCATTTCAATCATAAAAGCAAGCATAAATTGCCACTAAGAATCGCTACATAGCTGGTCAACAGGAACTTGACATTATTTAGGAAAAATGCAGCTGTGCAATTATTTGACACATTTCTACAAATCATTTCTGTTCTTTCCCTTTATCACACTTCTCCAATACTCCCACACAGTTTGTTATTCCTACCATTCCAAGTAATTTAAGAACACAAAAATCATCTAATCTTAACAAGCGGCGTCTGCTTTCTTCCCTCATGCAGTGTTTTCTCAGTTAGGAGTTACACCACTTTCCATTTTTAGACTTTCCCATGTAATAAGTATTTCCTTACACAATACATTTTGTCTGATTAATCCTTCTCTCCCTCAGCTGCAAAGCTATCACCAGCCTTTTCCAAAGGCAGACAAACTGGGGGACAGAAGCCCCCATGCATAGAAAGGATATTTCTTAATGAAGATTTAAATCTTCAGCTCCAAGATACCCAACACAACAAAACCAAAACTGGGGTGGGAGGAGGAAGACCAGACAGATAAGGACTCTCTAGCAGCACTTCTCAATTTCATGTGCACTATTTATCTATGACAGAACAAGTTCATCACATGATCTGTGCTCTTCAGTGTTAATCCACTATCTGTATCAGACAACTAGAAATAGCCAAATTTGTAACAGATTCCCAAGAACTGCTAAAAGAAACATGAAGCATGAAAGGAAATAATCAAATTGTTTTCTTTCTTTGGAAAAGAATAAAATAGTTCACTTCCAGACCAGGCACATTACTGTTTTGTTACAAATATGACCAGGTTGTGAAAACTAAGGATGTCCAGGAAGCAATTACTATACTGGCCTAACACAACATTGCCAACCCAAACAATCAAGATGACAAGTCATTTATCAAAATGCCAATAAGAACAACTTAACATTCCTTCATTTATAAAGCATGATAAGTATTGGGCACTTTTTGCATATGTTTCAACTGGAGCCATTAGTGATTGTGAATTATTTTCATACAATAAAAGTCAACTTTCTACAGACAGGTTTTCTTATAATGATTTCCCTCTAAAATTCAAGAATTAAGGAAGCAGAAGGTATCAAAAGACTTTCAGGAACAGATAAAACAGAAAGGAAGTCCCATAATAAACAAAAACGTGGCACTCTAGAAGCCCCATTTTCCTTCATGCAAAGAGTTCGGATACAAGTGTTATTCTAACTCTGATAAAACTCTGTCAAAGTCTGTAGTCTAAAATTCTACTTTTAAAGTAGATTAATTAATTAGAATTAAAAAGCATCAGCATTCTTTCTTACACAAAGAGCAACTACGCAAATAGCATCAAACCCTTTTTCAAATAATCACTTGTTCTATTTCTTTTTAAGGAAACATAACAGTGAAAACTAATGTAAAGCCCCCATAAACTTAATCTGTATCAAAGCATTCAAATCAATACTTTTTAAAGTAACCAATAACTAGATTAATCTGTTCCTTGTTCAAACCATAAAGTTCAGCATATTCCTAGAAAATGACATTCATATATATGCTATTAAGCAGTAAAAACATCCCTTACCACTAGATCCCATGTAAGATTATTTCACTCACTTGAAGTAAAGAAGACTCAAGCTTTTCTACCAGGTAAAAAAGGAAAAAAAAAAAAAAAAGAACCAAAAAAGAACCAAAACACAACTATCCTCAGCAGAGTACTCAAAAAAGCTCTTTGAACGGTGCAACCAAAACCCTGAAGTAGTACCTACAGAGCACCTGGCAGAGGAGCCCTTTTCCAAGCCTTGTTTCCTGCAGCTGTGGGGAGTGTTAATGAGCCCAAAGGCTCAGCAGCTGGCCAGGCTTCTCCGCGGCCCTGAGCTACCTCCTGGTTATTGCTAGAAATTTCCTTCTCAAGCTGCTGTCTCTATTTCGAGCAAGTGCTAATTCTGTTTGCCCACTGTGAAAAGATATTTTCCTTGAATAGCTACTTAATTTAACTCCATTTTATCTGCAACATTCAGAACTATCTTTTGTAAATAAAATATAGCTTTGTTAAGAGTTGCTGCCCAATACCTGAAAATCAGTCTGAGCCCACACACCAGAAGATGTGGGGGAAAAGTAGAGGTGAAGCATGATTAGAGCAGGGGAATCACATACCAGGTCTAAATCAAATGCAAAAAAAAAAAAAAAAAAAAAAAAAAAAAAAGTTCACTGCAGTTAAGAGAATACATTTTGCATATTTTCAAAGCCACACTGATGGAGAGATAATGTATATCTGGTGTGTTTTCTACAGCAAAATCCCCATCCAGCAAAACCCCTCAATTTACTGGCTGACTGGAGTTGAGGGTCCAGTTCAGCAAGTTACCAAATACCCACTGCTGACCTCCCCAGCTGCCAAGTAGTAACTGAGGTACCAGCTGGATATTCCCAGCTGAAGAGACTTTTCCAATATCTACTAAGTCAGCTTCTTCCCCCCCCCATTTTGTGCAGAACTGCCTTTTCAAAGGTTACATTTTGGAATGTGTTAATTGACAATTCATAGGTAAATTTACTTGATAGCACTAATTAAAATTTAAAAAGAGAACATAGAATCTCATGAATGAAGAATTTCAGGCCAAGCCTTT